TAGCCAGTCTGTGGATCCGTAACGTCCACCCTGGAACAGGGGAAAGGGTGCAGATTTGGAGTTGGGCATCAGTTGTGGAGTCAAAAACTTGGGAGTAGCCTCCCAAGTAGCTGAGCCTATAGGCGTGCACCACTGTGCCTGGCGAGGATGGCACATTCAGGGTTTACTGGCGCATGCCATCAGCCTCGGGACGCTTGACTTACTGGCCCTACTGTAGCCCTCCACAGAGGGTTTGGGAAATCCCCTGGAGAAGTGGCGGTGTAGGGAGAAGAGGACACAGCTACAATGACAAATAAGATCCTAGGCCAAAGCCTGCCTTGCTTCTCGTTTCCTTCTGGGGAAGTGGAAGAGGAAGAGTTAAGCCAAACAGAAACAAGACTCACCACCACACACTCCTCCCCCTGCCCGGGGAGGCTCTGAGGGCACCGTGTATAGGAATACGCTAACACACTGAGATCCGCTCGCCTCCTTTCCCCCTTGTGCCAGGCCCTGTGAATCAGAGCAGGGATACCCCCAGCTCTGTGATTTCATGACATGACCCACTCAGAGGCCAGTGAGTCAGGCCCCACCGGCCCCCTTCGTGCTGCTACATACACCAAGTTCCCAAGGTGAGTCTGGAAAGGGCCAGTCATCTTCCAGAAGAGATCTCAGCCCTCTCATGAAAAGGCCCCCATAGGGTGAGGGACAGGAGAGGTGAGGCGGTGGGGGGGGCGGTTCAGCACAGGACCCTCCAAGCACCAGCCCTGCCTGGACAAGGCCAGGATTAGCCTCTCCTCAGCCAGGAAAAGGGAAACTTACTTATCTTTCGTCCCACTGATATGGCAGCTGCCCCCTTGGAGGCTGGGACGCCAAGGCAGTTTCTGGGAGACATGCAGACCTGGAGTCAGGAGACAGTTCTTTAAATCCCTGCTGAGTGACCGTGACCTTACCTCCCCTGAACCTCAGCTTTCTCATTTGTAAAGTGGAGCCAACAGGCTCTACCACTCAGTGGAACAAGCACAAGCTGCCAGGTGTGCTGGGTTTTTGCACTGCTCTCCCTTAACAGGTCTAGCTGTGTGAGAGCTCAAAATAATGCAACACACAGGTCCCGTGGGCCTACAGCGTGCGGGACACAGTGCAAGGCCTAGGGGCCACAGGACCCTGTTCTGGTCCCTCAGGGATTCTGGGTCTGGTGAGGAAGACTGGCAGATAAATAATACCACGCTGTGATCAGCGCTTTCAGGGAGGAATGAACAAAGGACCGTGGGCTCGCAGAGAAGGGATCATCTGACCCAGGCTGGAATGAGTGAGGTCAAAAAAGCCACGGGGAGGAGGGGCCATCTGACCCTGGCCTTGAAGTCAGCATCTCTCAGGGCAGGCAAGGATGGTGGGCATTCCAGGCAGGCAAAAGAGCTCCAAAAGAAGGCCCAGCCCAAAGGCATGCACAATGACCCTTCCCAGGGGGCCTGGCCCCAAACACCAGGTACTAGGCCTCCAGAGCATAGTTCCCCCCAGGCATGGTCCCTGCTGGCTCCCAAGTCAAGCGACACTTCCTCAAGGCCAACACAGGAAAGGAATCACCAACCTCAACAGAGGACGCTGCCTCTGTCTTCCTCAGTTCCGTCTCCCCTGTTCCCCTATGCCCCCACAACCTACTGGAGCTCTGTTCAGAGGACCCAGCTTTCTGATCTCTGAGCCCACTCCAGCCTCTGCCTCCCTCTGGTAAAATCCTCCCCTCGATTTATAGCCCCCATTAACTGCCAGCTTCTCAGAAGCCACCCCTGGCCTTTCTCTCCCTCGAATTCTCAGGAACTCTGTGTACATTTCTCCAGATTTAATGCTTGTCATGTAACAAGCACACATTTCCAGATTGGCTTTTCCAAGCAGACCAGGTCTGGGCCTTTTTCACTCTTGAATCTTCACTCAATAAATCCAGATCCTGCCCCCAGTGTCCTCGACTCCAGCATGTTATTAATTGACAAAGAGCCAAGCTTGAGGTGGAGGCTGCAGTGAGCTGAGACTGCGCCACTGCACTCCAGCCTGGGCAACAGAGCAAGACTCTGTCTCAAAAAAAAAAAAAAAGAACCAGGCTCTATCAAATGACAGTAAGCCACATCGACCATTCTCAGGCAACTTATGAAATTAAAAATCATAACTGGTGCGCTGTGTTGTCTTTATATAAATAGTAATAACTGTCTTTTTATTTTAGAAATAGGATCTCACTCTGTCCCCCGACACTGGAGTGCCGTAGCACAACCATACCTCATTGTAACTTCAAATTCCTGGGCGCAAGGGATCCTCCCACACATAGCACCATGCCCAGCTAGCTTTTTAAATTTTTTGTAGCAATGAGGTCTCACTATGTTGCCCAGGCTACTCGCAAACTCCTGGCCTCAAGCGATCCTCCTGCCTTGGCCTCCCAAAGTGCTGGGATTACACATGAGCCACTGCACCTAGCCGACTCACTTTAACATACTGAGCATTCTTGTGCCTCGCACTGGTTTAAGACCTAAACATACAATATTTCATTCAATTCTCATAACTCTATGAAGTAGGGACATTTCTACCTCCATTTTACAAGTGAGGAAATTGAGACACTGATTTCATCAAGGTCACAAAACAGGTCAGAACCCAGGCAGTCTGATGCAGGAGTCTGTATTCTCAGCGACTATGCTATTATGGACAGGGTGCTAAGGACACAGAGGGGCAATAACCTTGGGGGTCAGGGGGAGGCAGTGCTACTTGCACTGAAAAACATGTAGAAGGTAGCCCAGCAGATAAGAGAAGCAGGAGGTTTCTAAGCAGGGGGGCTGGTGTGTGCAAAGTCATGAAGACATGAACGGCAAGTGTAGGCATGGTACATGCTGCAGGGCCATATTATTGGACCTTAGGGTGCACATAGGAGGCTACTAGGGAAGAAGTCAGATCACAGAGAGCTGTGTAAATTGTGCTAGGGGTTCAGCTCATAGGCGATGGAAAGCCAGAAAACGGTTATCAGCAAGGAATCGACACCACCAGGCTTGTGATTCTAAAAAGATCACAAGAGTTACAGTTTGGAGACTGGGTTGCAAGCTGCCAGGGCTGGAGTGCTGGAAGTCGACAATACATCAACAGCGTGGTAACAAGAGATGGAGTGGACCCAGGTTTGAAGGATGGTCAGGAAGTTGGCTGTGCTAGGTCACTTTTAAGATGCGGGACTTGAAAGAGAAGAAGAGACAGTGTAAGGTAATTCTCAAATTTCCGCCTGAGTTGGGTTAGAGGAAGAATTAATCTGCACGGAAAAGACCAGTTCAAGTTTGGACCCAGTGAGCTCCATGTGAAGCAGAGCTGTCCCAATGACGGCTGGATGGGTAAACGTGGAGCTCCAGGGAAGGGTGGCGCTGAAGATGTGGATCTGGGTATTTAGTTGGTGTAAAGCTGAAGCCGTGGGGGTAAATGAGACCACTGAGATTCAGTGTACAAAGCGAGGGGTTGGGCGACAGAGGAGAACGTGAAACGGGACTCTGACCGACTATCAGAGTGGTACGAAGAAAACCAGGAGACACTGACTGAGGAAGCCAAAATCGGGGGTTGGGGGAACGTGTCAATAAGAACGAGCGTCCATGGTAATATGCACCTCTAAGAACTCAAGACTTGGGCCGGGCGCGGTGGCTCAAGCCTGTAATCCCAGCACTGTGGGAGGCCGAGGCGGGTGGATCACGAGGTCAAGAGATCGAGACCATCCTGGTCAACATGGTGAAACCCCGTCTCTACTAAAAATACAAAACATTAGCTGGGCATGGTGGCAACTGCCTGTAATCCCAGCTACTCGGGATGCTGAGGCAGGAGAATTGCTTGAACCCGGGAGGTGGAGGTTGCGGGGAGCCGAGGTCGCGCCACTGCACTCCGGCCTGGCGCCTGGTGACAGAGTAAGACTCTGTCCCACAAAAATAAATAAATAAATAAAGGGCCCTTTTGATATCAGTTAGGAAGTTATTCACGACCTTTTCCAAAGGAAGTTGGGGAGTCACGGGATGACAGAGACGCAGAGCTACCGGAATGCGTAGATGTTTTCCTCTAACCCCAGATCCCGACCCCTCCCCAAACCCGCCCGTACTCACAACACCCAGACACCGTTCCCTCGCCTCTCCCCTCAGTTAAGACGGAGACTTTGGAAGGCGATCCCGAACGCCCTCCCCGGGCCCCCCGGGTTAGGCCGGGTCGCCTAGGGTCATTGCTGGAGACCCTGACCCGTGTGGGGCGGACCAAAGCCAGGGAAAGGAAGGGGGCGGAACCCGGGACGCGGCGGGTGTGGGAAGGGTCGGACGGAACCCAGCACCGACAACGAGCGGGGAAGCGGGTTCTACCGGCGGGAGACGGCCCTCGCACGCCACCAGCTTCCAGCGAGCGCTCCGGGACCCACCTACTCCATGTCAGCCACCGCACCGGCTCTTCCCGCCCCAGCCGCAATTCGGCTCCGCGGCCTCGGTAGCGCCTCAGGGCGGAAGATGATCTTCCGGCGGCGCCACTTCCGCCGCTAAGTCCGCCCCCAGAGCTAACCCGGACTTGCGTCCGCCTGCGGCCCCGCCCCTTCGCCCCGCCTCCAGCCCCGGCACAGCACCGAAGCGGAGGCGACAGCCGGAGTCAGACTTAAGTGCCTGCCTAAGAGAGGGGGAATGGGAAAGAGACCAGGGCCGTCGTTATTAGGCCACACAGGCCTGGCTCTGAGGGAAAAAGGGGAATTTCCCGAGGGTAGTCCTGTGAGAATGGGGGAATCACTGGAGGAATCCACAGTTACCCGGGAAGGACTTCCCCACCCACCCCACCCTGCTTCATTCAGCCATCCCAAGCAGGAGCTGGAATTTCTGTGGTTCTTCCTCTGAGTGCCCCGAGCCTGTTGTCTGCAAGAAAGACTCCTAGACTAGAGGATTGGACAGTAGGCTCAAAGCCCTAACCCTTGGTTGACCACCTGCCTTTTCTGTCAGGATGCCCCCTAACCTCACTTTTCCTCCCTCTTCCCCTGAATGAGAAGTCTCAGCACAGTTATTTACAAAGATTTATTACAGCACGGGAGGGGTTCAGGCCTGGAGTCAGGGAAGAAGGGGAAGGGGGCAGAGCAGCTGGGGGACAAGGAAAACCTAGTGCCCCCCACTATGTGCCCCACTGAGGACATAGACTAGGCGGCATTCCTGGCATCAAAGCACAAACGAAACGCAACAAAGAAGTCTCTGCCAGTCCCTCTTCCAGGGACCCAGGAGGAGCAAGGGTGATAAGCGGAAGTTTTCCAAAATGTTGAGGCTGTGGAGAAAGACGCCTTAGTCCTGGACCCTAGTAGATGCCAGTGAGAGAAGTGGTGACTTGGAATCCTCCATAGAAGAGGGGATGGAAAAGGATCTAAGGGTACCTTAAGGTTCTCAGGACCTCCTTTCCCCAGATCTTAGGGTCCTGCCCTGTGGGTCTCCTGTGTCCAGGGGAGAGGATCTGGGGAGTAGAATTATGAAGGGCAAATTCCTGTTCCCGGTTTTCTGGATTTTTCAATGTGGGCTGACTCACATCCCACCTCCCACTGGGTGAATGGAGGAATGACTGGCAGGGTAGGCATCAGGCAGCAAGTGCCCAGGTTCTCTGGGCATCAGCCAAAGGTGGGCAAACAAGCAAACACAGACCAGCCTTAGTCTTCTAGAAGTCAGAAGCCACAGCCCTAGCAGGCAAGGGGAAGGGCACAAAACAGGGCGAGGATAGAGTGGGTTTCTGGGGAGCAGCGATGTCCCCTCCACTTCTTCCTGGGAGATGCAGGGCTGAGTGCCTATGTGCCAGGCTCAGAGGGGGAAGGGCGCTGAGGTTCCTCCCCAGGCTCTGAAAGGCAAGCAGAGAGGGACTCAGAGCCTGGCCCCACTCACCAAGATCCCAGCCCTGCCTCCCCATTCCACACTCCCAAGCCTCACCACTTAGTGCTGGGTCCTCAGAGCTTCCATCTCTCTCCGGCTCATCCAGAGGGGGTGGGCGCTCCCAGGGCCCCTCCAGACCCTGGCCACAGGTTGTCTTCTGCCCAGCTGGTGGGAAAGAGGGGATAAGAAGACAGGCTCTGCTTATCTAACTGGCTGTCTTCAAGTACAAGCTAAGTCTCTGATGGCTGAGGCTAAGCTTTCATGGGCATCATGGCAGCATGGAGAAGGCACTGGGCTAGAACAGCTCTCTCAGTGACTCGCCATGTGGCTTAGATAAATCAGCTGGTACCTTTCTGAAGGAAATAGTAAGGGGAAATTGAGTAGATTATCTTAAACAAGATATAATAGTGAATACCCTGCCTAGCCCAGCGCCAGCACCCAGAAGCCACTAGAAGTTGTGGTGGTTTATATTGCTCCATCATAGGCCTGACATTTGACCCGGTGCCCTGCCGCATTTTATTTTTTTTTTTAAGAAAAAAAATGTTTCACCATGTTGGCCAGGATGGTCTCCATCTCCTGACCTCGTGATCTGCCCACCTTGGCCTCCCAAAATGCTGGGATTACAAGTGTGAGCCACCATGCCTGGCCTTTTTTTTTTTTTTTTAATTGATACGGAGTCTCACTTTGTTGCCCAGGCTGGAGTGCAGTGGTGCGATCCTGGCCGGCTGTAACTGCCACCTCCCAGGTTCAGTGATTCCTGCCTCAGCCTCCCGAGCAGCTGGCTAATTTTTGTATTTTTATTACAGACAGGGTTTTGCCATGTTGGCCAGGCAGGTCTCAAACTCCAGACCTCAAGTGATCCACCAGCCTCGGCATCCCAAAGTGCTGGGATTACAGGCATGAGCCACCGCGCCCAGCCACCTGCTGCTTTTCCTGAGGGAACAGCCTCCTCTCACCCCTTTTCCACCTGTTTTGGGGGAGTCTCAGTAGAAACTGATTCAGCTCTTCCACCTTTCTCTTGCCCACGAAGGGACTGAAGCTCAGCAACAGCTTTTGCTCCCATGACCAGTGCCCTCACTGCCACATATGCAGGCGAGACGCCCAAGGCATTTTGTTTGTGCGGAAGAGCTGACAGCTTCTAGCAGAGGTGGTTTACTGTTCAGTATTACCATAAATAATGAGACTAAAAAGTTTAATGTGCCCTAGGAGGGACAGATGTGGTACCACCTTCCGTGGCCAGGTATGGAAGAAACAACCATGGAAGGGGGTGAAATCTTCCTGCCTAGAAAATCTCTGGGCCTTGGGACCTTTTGTGGAGTGTTTTGGATCTGGAACATCCAGCTGCAAGGCCTTCTGTTACAGGTATTAGGTCCCTCCCTGGACCCTCTCCCAGGCAGCGGAGGTTGGAGATGCAGAAGACAGGTTGGTTCTTGAAGTTTAGATTCTACATCTAGACACTAGAGGGCACCCTCCCACTCCATCCTAGGAAGGAAAAAGAGGGAGAGACAGGTGTCCTGGAGAAGGCAGGTAAATCAGGCAGCCCTCTGCACCCCAGCAGAGACCACATCCTAGGTTCAAAATTGCAGGTGATAGCGGTGTTGGACTTTCTTGGTCCTCCATCCCTGAACGTCCTCACGTCCCCTTACTGCCATAGGTGGGAAGTCCTTTTTTGGCTCTAGCCTCAAACCCCAAACAGCTTTGGCCTTAATTCTCAGGGAAAAGAGGAAACATTAGGGAAAACCTGATTGGGAGAGGGACTGAGCTAAGTATGAAGGAAGCCTATGTCTCAGGTAGGGCTAAGTGCAAGGCACCCCAAGGCCCAGTGGTGTTGCTACAGTTTGCGTGTGTGAGACACTGAACTGGAAGGGGATGTCTCAGTGTACTCAAGGAGGACCCACACCTAACCCACATGTCATAGGCCCTTCAGCTTACCAGACTGCCTGATGACCTTCAGGACTTCAGCCTGGCTATCCTCTTCTTCCTCCTCTTCTTCATCCTCCTCCTCCTCCTCCTCCTCGTCTTCCTCTCTTGGATAACCTAGCTCCCGAAGTTCCCCCAGCTCGTCCTCCTCCTCCGAGGCCTGGTTCTCATTCAAGTTGCTGATAGTCTGCAGGTGAGACTCAGCAATGCGCTGCACAGCTGGCACAGAGGGGACCCAGGAAGACAAGGGTCAGCCAAATGAAGCCATGGATCTGGAGAGAGTTTGTGGCCCAGCCCCCAGCCTCCTTCCCATAGGCCTGGGGCAGAGAATATCCCCTCAGGGGCTCAAGTTCAAAACCCAAAGGTTACATGTCAGCCTGATGGGGGTCAGACCAGGGCAGAGGCAGCCAGGGGTAGATTTGATCACGTTTGGCTCAATCTTAAGCTGTCCCAAGATGCTAGCCCCCAGGAGGCTACCACCAGGCTGCTCCCCAACACCATAGGGGGCCAGGCTGGGCAAGACCAGGCAGGCACAACAGCAGCTTAACATTCTCTGGCTGGAGAGCTTGATTTGCCAAGTACCCAATACTGGAGACAGTGTCTCCCAGCTTCAAGCCCAGGCAGAAGGCACAGGGCATATGGGCCAGGGCCTGGGGATTCACCGCTTTCCATTTCTGAGGGGTGCCCAGCTTGCTGAGGGCTCACTGCTTACCCTGATCCTACCTCTTATGCAGTGCACAGTCCCCGCTCCCTGGCACTGCCCAGTCATAGATGCCAACCCACATACTCCTGCCCCAGGCTCCAAGGGACAGAACAATTCTGAGGCCGAGGACATCATAGTTTGCAGCCAGTGCAGTGTGCGCCTTGGGATGTGGCGTGCTCAGATGCGGCCCCCACAATCTTGACCCACATCCCCAGGTTCCCAGCTCCCTCCGCGGTGACCTAGAAAGCAACCCCCCAGCCCCCAAAGACCTGCTCAGATAAGGCTGGGAAGGGAACAGTGTGGACAGCTGGAGAGAAGTTTCCAAAAGATGGAAAGGAACAGGGGGTTTGAGAAAGGGGCCAGGGCCAGGGGTTCTGGAGGGTGGCAGAGGGTGAGGCCCACTGAGGAGAGGCTGCAGAAGGTGGTAGAATCTTAGAGCATATGGAACACAAAGTTCACAGGCCACAGACAGACAAGACACTGACGAGGGGCTGGGGGCAGGGGGATGGGGAGTTGCTGCAGCTCCTTCTTGGTCACCTCCCCTCAGAAGGCCCAGGGGGTAGGTCCAGGCTGGAAACCTCCGGCACAGCAAGCAGGGTGCCATGCTCCTGCCAACTCGGAGACAGGCACAGAGGGTGCTTTGTATGTGCCTGCTGCCCCACCCAGCCCCCAGCTCCCAGCCCAGTACCTCCTGCTGGCTCTGGGCAAGCTATCCAGGCAATAAAAGCACAATAAATCGCCCTGCCCTGACCTTGGGGATGAGGCAGAGCTTCATCTTGAGCCAAGTATGAGAGCTCCGGCCTTGGAGCACAACTCCTCAGGCTGAGACCTGGTGCTGTGCCCTCTCTCCAGGACCCTTGATTCTTCCGTGACAACCCCCAGCCCTGCCAGACACCTTCCCTTGCCCACAAATGGACTGAAGCCTACAAAACAGTGCCCTCCTGGTAGAGAACGGTCCATGAGGGCTGTGGGGGACAGGGTAAGGCAGGGAAGCAGGTGGCAGCCTGGGCAGCTTCCGCTTCCTTCTCCCCCAGCGGGGGAGGAGAGTTCAGTTCGTGAGCCGCAGTGACAACAGAAGGTGTGTGCAGCGCCTGTGCTGGTGCCCCGTGAGCCTCCCTCACCTCCCCCACCTCCCTCGTGCCTCCTGGGCTCTCTGGGGTCTCCCCATCCCTCCCTCCAGGCTGCCTCCATTTCTGCCCCCATCTGTGGAGCCCTGAACTCCCCCCAGCCCAAGTCTCCCTTCTTCAGTTTGGAGGTCCCCAGCCTAGCCCCAGACTGGCCACCCCTCTCCTGATCCCTTTCCTCTTCCCTGCCTCCACTCACCTGGACTCCCTAAGATGAGGCCCAAAGGGACAATAGGGTGGGTGCACATTTTTGGCCACTTTGAGGTGCATGGTAGCGCCCTGGCCCTAACATCTTCATCCCGGCCTGCGCCCCCATGCGCACAGTCAAGAGCCCAGGTCTTCCACTCACATCCACCCAGCCTCTCCCCACCAAGCCCAAGGTGGAAGGGAGAGGGATTTCTTAAATTCTCTCCTGAGAAACTGCCAATTTCTCCCTCATGCCTGCTTTGGGGCCCTTCCTCACAGCCCTGCAGGTGCTGAGCCATGCTGCCCACTTGCTGCAGCTCTGACCCTTCATTTTCCTATCCTGGGGGAAGATAAATAACCCCTGGCCTTTTCTCCTCCCTTCCCAGCCTGTCCTCTCTGTTTCCAACCCTGGCAAGTGGGCTGACAGATACACCTGTTGACCTTGGCTGTGCTGGGAACTTATTAAACCCTCCCCCAAAGCAGTTCCCAGCACACTCTTCAGGCAGCACTCCCTCCCACCTCTGTGGGATAGAGGGGGCTGGCCAGGCAGGAAGAGCCCCAGGCAGGAGTGGAGGTGGGGTTGGTAGGCATCAGGGCTTCGTTAGGAAGAGGCCCTCCAATCTCCTTCAGGTATATCCCCCCAGCTCCCTGGCCAGAAACCAAGTCTCCTCCAGGTTGGCTACAAAGTCCGCCTCCGACTCCAGTTTCCTCTCTGCTTACTTCTTCCCTCTTCCTGGACCTGGATGCCCTTGCCTGCCTGTTAAATTCCTATGATTCTTCAAATCCAAACTTAAACACCTTTGTGTACCCTGCTTGACCCCCTCTTTTTTTTGAGACAAGATCTCATTTTGTATTCCAGGCTGGAGCACAGTGGTGTGATCATAGCTCACCACAGCCTCAAACTTCTGGACTCAAACAATCCTCCTGCTTCAGCCTCCCAAGTAGCTGGGACTACAGATGTGCACCTCTATGCTTAACTCACTTTTTAAATTTTAAGTAGAGATGGCGGTCTCACTGTATTGCCCAGGCTAGTCTCAAACTGCTAGGCTCATGCAGTCCTCCCACCTTGGTCTCCCAAAGCGCTGGGATTACGGGAATGAGCCACCTTACTTGGCCCCTCCCTGACCCTTCAAGGCAAAGAGCCCCAAGGGGGCAGGGACCAAATCTGACTCGTCTTATTTTGCGCAGTGCCCACCAACTTGGCCTGGCATATACTAGGTGTTCAGTAAGTGTGTACAAAAGGAATGGCTTGCTTTTCCATGGAGAAAGGGAAGCAGGAAAGAGTAGACCAGTCTATAGATCTGTGCAAATGGGATGCAAATAGGAGGGGAGGGCAGGGGTGCAGCCCACAGGGGAAGGTGCCCCCCCATGAACAGGGGTGAGGGGTGATCCAGCACAGGCTGGTGAAGAGGAGCTGCAGATGGAGTCCCCTCCACGAGGATACCTGCTGGTTTTCTTGGGCCAGCCATCTCTTTTCTTTCAAGCCCACAATGCGATGTTAAGGCCCACAGCTGCCCTTTGCAGCCTGGGGCTCCTGTGTATTGCAAGACCAGACTGAGAAAGAATTGGTCTTTACATTGGGTCGTTCCACCATGCTGACAGCGGGCTGTGTGTGTCGAGCAGTCCCACTCCACTAACAAAAGCTCCCCCAGCATTTGCCCAGTTCCAGGGATCAAGGGGGTAGCCAGGCAGGTCAGTGGGGGTATAGTACCTTTCAGTGAAGGGGGTGTGTAGGCACAGGGGTTGGCTCTCTTCGACTTGTGGTGGTGTCCCTCTCCTGAGGCTCTCTGCCAGGGGAAATGCCAAGTTAGAGGAGCTCGGCAGAGCTCCCTTCCCTTCACCCTCCCTCCATTCCATCCCACCCATGGCAACCCAAGCAGACTGATTTAGCCTCTGCTAATGGATCCCGCACCTAGGCTGAGCCTCCCCATCCTGTGGCTTTGGGAGGGTCCCCATAAGCCGTGCCTGGCTTAGGGCAGGACTCTAGGTCCTGGAGTTCCCACTCTGAGTCTGAGCAGAGGAGGATCTGCTGGAGCACCCTGGCATGAGGCACTCTCAGAGGAGCGCCCATTAATATGCTAATTGTCCTCCTGAGTGGCACCCCATACTTGTTGGTTGGCACTGCAGGCACCCATCCACCCCAACCCAAAGGGCCCAGGCATCCATCCTTCCAGCTGCCCCAGGAAACTCACCTGGTGTGGGGAGGCCTCCTCTTCTGAGGAAGGCCACCAAAGCCATATGAATCAAGGGAGGAGGAAGAGAGAAGAGAGAGAGAAAGAAGCCGATTATTTTCCCCAAGGTCTCAATCTCTGGGAACAAGAAAAGTGTGCCCTCTCCCTCCTGGGGCTGGGAGGTGTCATGTCAATAAATAAACCCAATAGAGTTGGGTTCCCAGACCTTACCCACTCCCCAGCCTTCAGCTCTGGCTCCTATTCATGGGACTTTGGCAGGGCCCCCAGGAAGGCTAGGATTCGGCCAAGGCTAAGTGGGCGGGGAAGGGGCCTACCTGGTGAGGAGTGCTCTGAGAGCCGGAAGAGCATGGCAGGGGTTGGTCTCCTGCGACGGATCTAAGGAGATGGAGGGAGGGGTGAGAGACACCTGCAGCCCACCCCCACCCCCAGGCAGCAGGGAACAAACAGTGCTTTGGAGTCCCCAGGGAACCTTTGAATCAAGGTCTGTCAGAGCCAAAAGGAACTCTGTAGCTCACGTAACCCCCTCATTTTATAGAGGAGAAAAAGCAAGGCTCAGAGAGGTTTAGCAATGTGCTAAAGGCCACACAGCACACTAAGTACAAAGGACAAGTAAAACCCCAGTCACTGACCCCCATCCCATTCCTGTGCCACTCCATGGCTACCCCAGAGCAGATACCTCCTTTCTATCTTCTCCCACCAAGGCCTTCCTCTCCCCAGTTTCTGAAAACATCAGACTTTAGAATCCAAAGCTGGCTACAGCTCCAGCTGCCAGAGCTGGGCCCTCTGGGGAAGATGCCCCACAGGCCATGGCACCCACGTGGCCCTGCCCACCTAAGGTCAGTTCAAGGGCTCCAAACAAACTGGATCCAGCTTTTCAGGAGGCTGAGCCAGAGCACTGCAAGCACCCCACCTCCAGCTGAGGCTCAGGGACCCAAAGGGGCCTGGGGACCTCTCTGGGGTCCTAGGTTTGGGCCCCTCTGCCAGTCTCTGGAAGACTGCAGAACTCTTCACCCAGTCCTTGTGAGAAATGAAAAGTTGCCCTCCTTGCTACATGAGCCAAGCTGAATGAGGGGAGGCGGGTGCTAAGCACTCCCAGCACTGCACCCCCACCCCCCAGCTTGGCAATCAGACCAACTGTTAGTTAATTAGGTCCCTGTCGAGCTCCAGGGAAATGCACAAAGAGAACCAGGTAAGTTAAGCTGAAACTGCCACCTTCCCTGCCAAGTTCCCCATGCCACCCTCCAGACCCAAAGCTGCTGAGGCCCAGGACTGCACCCCCTGTGCTCTATCACCCCTCAAAATGACTTGGCCCCCTGGTCACTGCTCAGTGGGGAGCCAGCTGCATCTCAGCAACAAGTGACCCCTGCTCCACTGGGGATGGGGAGTGGAGCCCTCTGTCACAGCACTCCCCAACCTTTGGAAGCCCCTCAGCCCCCCAGAAGGCCCCCCAAGGACTCAGTAGTCTGTGGGAAGAGGTCTGGCTTTATGATGACTGGTCACTTTTCCCTTTCTGGGATTGGGGCTACGAGGCCTGACAGCAGACACAGGTCAGAGCCAGCTTCTGGCGACCCCAGCCCAGGCACACAGGCAGGGACTAGAGAGGGGGAGGGCAGTGAGGTCACCCGGTGGCCGCCTCACACTCCCGCCCTGTGTGACAAGGTCAGTGTCCACTGCTGCTCACATCTGACCAGCTCTGGGCTGGGGCCAGGCGGAGAGGTACCGGTGGTAGCCTAGAAGACTGACTAGCCTTTGGGGACAGTGCCGGGCCCAAAGGACATCCCCACCCCACTCCCGGCCGGGCTGGAATCCGCCCGACCCCAGCGCCCCCAGCCTCACTGCGGGGAACTCTGTGGCCCCCGGGATCGGGACTGAGGCCGCGGGAAAAAGTTGCAGGAGTCTCCAGCGAACTTCACGCGCGGCCCCGCTCCGCGCCCTGGCCGAAGCAGAGCCCGGGTCTCCTTGCGCCCCCACCACCAGGCCCATCCGGCCTGGGCAGCGCCCCCGGAGCGCCGAGAAGCCCCGCGGGGTGTGTCGGGGACGCTGCGGGGGTGGGGCGCGGGACCCTTACCATCTCCACCTGGCGGGGGTCGAGCTGGCTAGGGGGCGCGGGCACCGAGAACTGGATCTTCTTGCGGTCCTTGGGGTCCATGGCTCGCGGGACAGGTGGCGGGCTGGAGCGCGCGACTCGGGGTCCCAGCGGCAGTAGGTGCTTGGCTCCCCCGCGCAGGCGGCTGGCTGTGCCGCGGGAGGAGGAGGAGAGCTGTTCGCACACGGATAAAAATACCGCGCCTGCCGTGGGGAGGGCGCGGGAGCGGGAGGAGGGTCGGCGCCCGGGTTGGGCGCGCCCCCTGGCTCTCTGGGATCGGGGCTCGCCCGCCGCGCTTGCTGCGCCGGGTCTGTGCCTCGCTCCCTCGCGCTCCCCGGCCTGGGTGTCTCTGCGTCTCGATGTCTGTCCCCTCCTGAGTGTCTCTCCTCTCCTGAGTGTCTCTGCGTGTCTCTTCTCTCTGCCTCTCCCGCCCTTCTCCACCTCCCTCCCTCAGCCTCTCTTCCTCTCTGTTTGTCTCTGTGCCTCTGCCCGACTCACCCCTCGGGTCCCGGCTTTGGGGTCCCCAGCCAGTCCCCTCCGCCTGGGACTGGCGCCCGGGCGCTCGGAGGGAGGGCTTAGGAGAAAGTGGCCAATGAGCACGGAGAATCGTGTTCTCCTGGGGTTGGGAGGAGGGTGGGAGTTGGAGCCAAGGCCCCTGGAGCCGGCTGGGGGGGGGCCCCCTGCGGTCTCCCCAGAACTTGAAGCTGCATTATTGATGGAGTCCAGCAGAGAGGATAAAGGGGGGAGAGTGAGGGGGAGAGGAGCAGCGGGGAGGCAGGACTCTGGCTTTAACCCCTTCGTGGCCCTGGCACTGGGAGTTTCAGGGAGGCCTGTGAGGTCGTGGGGAGAGTACCAGCCTGTCACGCGGTGAATGGGGGTGTCCTGGAAAAGGAGCGAGTGTGACCGAGTTATGTGTGGGAGGACACGTGTCAGTCATCTGGCAGGGAGAGTGTGCAGGGGAGAGCCAGGGGCCTGTGGTGCCCATAGCCGGGGAGTGTGCGTGTTGGGGTTCGGTGTGGTGTGAGTGCGTCTGTGTAAGTGTGTCAGAGTGTCAAAGCTGCAGGTGTGAGTGGCAGGGAGTGGGAGTACTGCGTGTGTACGAGGGAGGGTGTGGGTGTGGGGGAGGATGTCAGAGGCTGTCAAGGTGATGGGCAGGAGTGCGCAGGCTTGCAGCAGGTGGGGGGACGGTATCCACAGCTCCCGCCTTGCAGACGCTGGGGTATGAGGTTGTGGATGTGTGCGCACTCCTGGGAGGGAGAAGGGGAAGGCGCCCTGCCGTGATGTACCCTGGATTCACGTGGCTCCTGTCTTTCCTCCCCAGATCCAATGGGGTGGGGAGGACAGGGCCAGCCCAGAGTTGGGGGGTCTGAGGGCTGCCTGTACACGTGCCATCACGTGGGTGAGTTTGGTGCATTCAGAAGCAGGGCTGGGGGAGACAGGTGTGAGCCTCTCTCTCTCTAGAGGTGTTTGTGTGTGTCTCTAGAGGGGGAATGGGAGGAGCTGGCCCTGTGGGTAGAAAGTCCCTGTCTATCTGTCCGGGCCTTGGGTGCCTTTGTGGGAGCTGCTGTTGCCCCCTGTGGGGCTGTGCAGAGGGTCTGAATGCCTCTGTCTAGCGCTGAGAGGGTGCGTGTACACAGCGTGTCTTCCTGGGGCTCTCTTTCTGTTGGCATCCTCTCTCCTGGTCACTCTCAGGCCTGGAACCACCAGGAGCCCTCCGTACCCCCAATCCGTCTGCAGCCTTCCTCTCCCAGCCCCAGCAGCTGGGTCCTTGGTGGAGTGAAAGGCCAGAGGAATCTTCTGGAAATGGGGTCAGGGCCCGCTCTGGGGTGAGGAAAAGGGTGGCAGGAGGGGCAGAGGACTGCCCATAGGAGTGGGATGTCCTGGCCACCCAGCTGCACGTCGGCCGGCGCCAGGCCTGGCTCAAGTCCCCGTGTGTTTGTTGACTTAGATGCTTTTTGGGAAACAGCTGGATGCCAAGCTGTGGGCCCAGGGGTGTACGCACCTCTGGTAGCCTCTGGCTTGGCCCAGAACCTCTGTCGAAGATGGGTGTGGTGGGGAGTGGCAAAGGCCAGTTTGGCAGTGCCTTGGGAAGGTAAATAAGGAGGTCCTGAAAGGAAGAAGGGATATGGGAAGGGCATGGCCCAGGCAGTGGCCTGAACAGCCACTGGGTGGGCAGAGGTGGGGAATGGACTTTTGGCTTCAAGTGCTAGGAAGGATCATGGGGATGAAGAGGACAAAGGACATCTGGAAGGGTGATGAAAGGATGGAGACGGAGGCTTCACCACCAGTTGCACCTCAGGGCTCATCGGGGCTGAAAAGGCCTCAGGGAACATGGCAGCTGAGCCCCATTTGAGCAGGAGGGCTTGTTTTTTTTTTTTTTTTTTTTTTTTTTGAGACGGAGTTTCACTCATGTTACCCAGGCTGGAGTGCAATGGCGCGATCTCGGCTCACCGCAACCTCCGCCTCCTGGGTTCAGGCAATTCTCCTGCCTCAGCCTCCTGTGTAGCTGGGATTACAGGCACGCACCACCATGCCCAGCTAATTTTTTGTATTTTTAGTAGAGACGGGGTTTCACCATGTTGACCAGGATGGTCTCGATCTCTTGACCTCGTGATCCACCCGCCTCGGCCTCCCAAAGTGCTGGGATTACAGGCTTGAGCCACCGCGCCCGGCAGGAGGGCTTATTTACAGAGGATCTGCTGAACGTACTGGAGCTCCGGGAGACCCCACATTAGGAAACATTCCCTGGATCCCAGGCTGGGCAGCTGAGAAGGGAGATGCGGGCAGGGAAGCCTCCCTGGACCTGGAAGATGAGGTCTTTGTGGGCAGAGGGAGGGTCTTGTTCATCTCCCCCAGCCTGTGCCCAGACACCCACACTTCTGGCATCTAAATCCTGGGGCCAAGAAGGGTGGGGAGGACTGGCTGACAGAGGGACAGACACGGGGGACAGACAGGAAGGAGGACGAAGAGACTCCACAGAGACAGGATGTGAGAGAGAGATTAGAGTGGAGGGAGGGGAAAGCAAAGAGAGACAGAAAACACAGGAGAGATAAAGAGACAAAGGGAGGCAGAGAGAGAGAGGGAGAGAGAGCGAGCCTCACAGCCGAGAGAGGCAGAAGACAGAGATGGAGAGAGAGTAAAAATAGCTCAGCATTAAGATAATTGCAGCTCGCAGCTCTGCCCTCCGTTAGGAATTAAATGAGGTTTTATTACTTTGATTTTTCTCTCCTGGATCCTACGCGACTTCTCAAGAACTTGGGGAAAAGTTTTTCAGGTGGGCGGCCAGGTGGTGGGGGCTGCGTGGGTGACAGAGGAGGAAGGGAATGGGACTCCTGGGAGCTGGGGGAGGGGTGGGCAGGGGCAAGGAGTTGGGAAGGGCTTCTGGGGACAGTGGAGCCCGGCAGGCCAGGGCTGGAGGAGGTGGCCAGGCACACAGGATAGGGGTGGGAGGGCGCTGAGAAGCAAGGGGCCAGGGTGCCCTGCATTCACTTTAACTTAGAATTAATCATATGCAAATAAGATGTAAAAATAATATGCCACTCCTTGGTTATTATTCTTGAGTTAGAAGCACAGGCGGTTGGGTCCAAAGAACAAATTTAAGACCTTGTTTGACTTAACTCTGATTGAACTGTGGGTCTTTCTACTTGGACTGCCAAAAACGTTTATGGCAGGATGTCTGTTAATGTACCATAGGTCTGAGCGTGCTGTTTTGAGGCGTGTCTTTCCCATAATGTATCTTCACGCCATTGCTGGAGGCCCTGCATTCACCTCTGGAGGGAAAACTTGGGAGGGTGGTGTGAGGCCTTTGCCCTCTTCCCGGGCTGAGGGGAGGAGGGACACTTGGACCTGTCCCCTGCTCCTCCCAAGCAAGGTGTGTTTACCTGGACATATCACCTGGGAAGTCCAGCCCTGGGTAGGAATTTCAGGTCTGTAACTTACTGTGTGAACTTGGACACATTTCCTAGATTCTCTCTGTACCTCAGTGTCCTTGTGCTTCAGAACCCACCTCATATGGTGGCTGTGATGATTCAACAGGAGGAGAAATAAAGTCCCTGCCAGGGCAGGGTTCCTGGTAGCCCTTGACCGAGGTTTCAGCTTCCCTGGATGCTCTTCGGGAAAGAGCCGGCAGGTGGCAGAGTCGGCCAGGGTTTGGGCAGCTGCTGCTGGCACTGCAGGTCTGGAGTTGGGCATCACACCTGTGACCTTGGCACCTCAGAACTGAGCCGGAGCTGGCTGAGTTGGCATGTGGCAGCTGGAAGGGAGGCCCTGGAAGCCCCAGGAAGCACCCTTAGAAGAGCCGAGGAGTGCTGGCTGGGAGCACTGAGCCATCTTTCCCTGCCCTTGAGGGAAGGGAGGAGTGGGGACAGAGGAGGAAGAGGAATTCCAAGGCCCACATCCTCTGGGGAATCCCATGGACCCAAGAGGAGAGGGCAAGGACACCCTCAGCAGGAGCAGTGGTGGCACCAGGATAGATGGACAACCATCTGAGACACTCATTTGCACAGGCACTCATTCATTCATTTATTCATTCACCCATCGTCCATCCCTTTGCCCATTCAGTAAATTCACATTGGTGCTTAGGTGCTTTTTTTGAATCAGCTTTGTTGAGTTACAATTTGCATACAATAAAGTGTTAAATATACATTTCAATGAGATTTTGGGAATTTATATAGCATTTGACCACCACAATACAGATATATAATGTTTCTATCTCCCAGAACAGTTGCTTTTGCTCCAACCAAGTCAATCTCCCTTCTCCCTTTGTTGGTGTGTCATAACCTAACACACTATTTTGATACTTGTCTTTCTCACCTTTTTTTAAAAATTTCATTTATGTTTTATTATACTTTCAGTTCTGAGGTACATGTGCAGAAAGTGCAGGTTCGCTACATAGGTATAAACGTGCCATGGTGGTTTGCTACACCCATCACCCTATGATCTACATTAGATATTTCTCCTAATGCTATCCCTCCCTTACCTCACCACCCACCAACATGCCCCAGTGTGTGATTTCCCCTCCCGATGTCCATGTGTTCTCATTGTTCAACGCCCACTTATGAGTAAGAACATGTGGTATTTGATTTTCTGTTCTTGCATTAGTTTGCTGAAAATGATGGTTTCCACATTCAACCACGTCCCTGCAAAGAACATGAACTCATCCTGTTTGTGGCTGCATAGTATTCCATGGTGTATATGTGCCACATTTTCTTTATCTAACCTATAATTTATGGGAATTGTGTGTGTGTGTTTTTTTTTTTTTTTTTTGTAGACAGGGTCTTGCTCTGGAGTGCAGTGATGCCATCATGGCTCAAACGATCCTCCTGCCTCAGCCTTCTGTGTAGCTGGAACTACAGATGTGCACCACTACACCCAGCTAATTTTTTTATTTTTTATTTTTTGTAGAGATAGGGTCTCACTTTGTTACCCAGGCTGGTCTCAAACTCCTGGGCTTAAGTGATCCTCCTGCCTCGGCCTCCCAAAGGGCTGGGATTACAGGCGTGAGCCACCGCCCCTGCTGCCATCTCTCTTTACATCATCACCGACCTGCCACAGTACCCAGAATACAGCAGGCACTGCATGATGCCGAGAGGATGGTTTGAGGAATGAATGAATAGATGAAGACATGAGTCAGAAATCAACAACGGTGGCATATATGAAGCATTTCCTCTGCACCGGGCTAGGCCCTTCCTATGCACTCTCATTTAATCCTTGCTAGTATCGTTCCAATTCACAGATGAGGCTATTAGATTGAGAGGTTCAGCAGCTTTTGCCCAAAGCCCTCCCTCTTTACTGCTGTCTTTAACACATTCAGGACGGACGCGTGGAAGATCGCTTGCACGCGCCGCAGCGGGCCCCTCTCTTGCTCAGTCCCTCGCGTTTGGACCGATCTCAGGAGCTGCAGAAATCGATGTGTGGAGGCTGCCCTCTGGTGGCACAAACAAGTACAGCAGTATCTGTGCCCTTTGGCGCCCCCAGGTGGGAGCTGGGAGGTTGTTGAGAAGAGAGCAAGCTGCAGCCCACAGCGGGGGCAG